CCAAAAAACCCCCCAAAAAAAAACCCCACCCCCCCCCCCCCCCCCCCCCCCCCGCCATTTTTTTCTTTAAATTTCTTAAAAGTTTATAATGATTGACTTCCTTGATCTCAGGTATGGAACTCTATGCATACGGGAAAATCCTGGCTGTCTTTTCATAGCAACAAACCGTGATGCTGTTACTCATCTCACAGATGCTCAAGAATGGGCAGGTTTGTGACAGGACCTTGTTGTCTCCCGTTCGAGATAAATTCTTTAAACTCGAAAACTTATTTTTTCTTTGATGCTCTATCACGAATAAATTGAACCGTACTAATGCCTGATCTAATGTTTTTATTGATATAACTTCCAATCGTGTTTAGGTGGGGGTTCTATGGTTGGTGCAATTTATGGTTCCACTCGACAAGAGCCTACTGTAGTAGGAAAGCCCTCTACTTTTATGATGGACTATTTATCCCAGAAGTACTGAACATCTTTTCATTCTTTCTTGGTTAGATTAAAATAGATGGTGCTAATTTTTTCTTTGCTTTTTTTATGTTTATATTTTATCTCATTGACAGGTTTGGTATTCTAAAATCACAAATATGTATGGTTGGGGATAGATTGGATACGGACGTACTATTCGGGCAAAATGGTGGCTGCAGAACTCTTCTTGTTCTCTCAGGTGTCAACCCTCTCTCTTCTTCTGCAGAATGTTACAGCCCCCCAAATAGCAGTTTTAACGGGCGGTCATGTCTAGAGACTGTTTTACACTTTACTGCCTTTTTGTTTTTAGGCGTGACCACGCTGCAAATGCTTCAAAATCCAAGCAATCCCATACAACCTGATTTCTACGCCGGTAAAGTTTCTGACTTCCTTGGTCTTAAAGCTGCAGCCGTATAAACCAACCAACAATTAAAGTTAATTTTATTTAAATAATTTAGATTCTTTTAATTGTGAAATTATAAAACTCCGGTTAGCGTTGATTTATTATATGTAAACAGAGCGAATGGAAAAGTTATTGTGTGTAATAATAAACTAGTGACGTGGAATGGTTCGGTTCTCAGTTTAATAAGTATAATTATTGATTTAAATCATTTTTTTTTGTTTGATAAACATATATTTTGTTTTCAGAAATTAATATCTTACTTTGAAAAAAAAATATATGAGATAAATAATTTTTAAATCTTTTAAAAGATTTAAGATTAAATAATTATAGTTGCGGTCATAAACAAGCTCAGTCTACTCTGGTTCGGGTTTGACGGCTCAATTTCACGAGTTTAATAAATGTTTTTATTTTAATTAATGTTGTAATAAAAATGACTGAATAATTAGGAGATGAAATAATATTAAATTTTTTGATATAAAATATAAAATTTGAACTTTCTTAAAATTTTTATAATTTTAAAATTTGCTCTTTGTACTAACAATATGCTCCGAGCCAATTTATGAGCTCAAATGAGTTTTGATAGGATAACATCACTTGAGGCATGAAAAAAGAATTAATGAGGTAGGCCTTAATTGAGCTCGAGCTTGTTCAAGCTTGAATTCATGGCTTGAAAACTAAACATGTGAGTTCAGGCCGGCTCAATCACACTGCTATTAGGAATTAGGTTAATTTCTCAATATTTCGGGCGGAAGAATTTAGGAAAACAAGATAAACAGACATTAAATTGATAATTGAACTAACAAGTTAATTTAATAGTTTTTAATATGCTTGAAACGATTACTTATGGTTTATAGATGACCAATAAAATAATTTGTGCGTAAATCCCCATTAAATTAACCCTAAAATGGCGAATTTTCCACGCGTTGTTATTTTGGCGTTATCTCCAGTGGACGAATGAATTTATTTACGTTTATTTGTTTCAAATAAAAAGGGCCAATTTTCATTTGATGGTTAAAATTATATATTAATTTTTTCTTGTAACATAAATTCATCTCAGCAAATTTTTCTATAAAATAAATTCGATTTTCTCCAGGAAATGAAGATGGAAAAATTGAAAGCATATAACATAATTCATACTTAAATTTTAATTTTTACTAACACTTAAATATTTTATCATGATATCAAAAAAAAAAAAAAACACTAATATTAATCCTCAAAGAAATTTCCAGCCTGACGCATACGAATTGTAGGTAATTTTACAAAAAGATCAAACACAGAAACAAACACGCTACGGCCCTGGATAAATTTGCAAACCTGCTTAATGCAGCCAAGGCTTTGCTGCTGTGATTGATGCCAGTAAGCGATCATAATAAATATAGGAAAATGCCTAAAATTCTACAATAAAGGACTTGGGGAAGCTGCGGGAATTCAAGTATCCATGATCCCTGGTGAAAGAGATGGCTGTTGTGGAGTCTGCTTATTTAGGAGGGGTGATAGCGCCTTCACTACAATGCTCATGTTTGGCCTGAACTCCGCTTCATACTGCACGCATAAAGCCGCCACTGCTGCCAGCTGCAGTAGCAATAACTAAAATAAGCACAATAATAATAATAATAAGAATAATAGTACTGTACCACCAATCCCATAGCATAATATGGAACAAGTAAGCTTTGGCTACGAGGCATAACTACCCAGGAATTCTTAGGAGGGGCTATTCCAGAAATGGCACAAAAATCTTATCCATGAGCCGAATTTGCAGGAACAAAGCATATCTACCAAGAGAAAACACTTGTTCCAAGACATAAAATTTTATATGCTGTGAATCGAGCCACCCGCAGCTTAAGCTTTGATTAATTAATCCAGTTCGGGCTAAAGCTTAAGAAGCTTAAGCTCAAGTTTGATTCTACGAGTACTTGTTATTTAAAAGAAGAAAATAATATTAATTTAAATTAATTTTATAATAAAATGATGAATAGGAAGATAAATACTTAAATTTTAATGTTTTTTACGAGTCAGGGCTAGGCTGAGCTTTGAATTGTGAGCTCATCGAGCTTCCAATTTGCAAGCCACTTGCTGAAAAGAGCCCAAGTCAAGCCAGCTTGGCTCAATTACACCCCTACTAACAAAAATGTTAATGGAATTAAAAACCTAGAAATCTATTCCTACAAATGCAAAAACAAAAATAAAGGGAAAAAAAAAAGAAAAAGAAAAAGAGGAACCGGAAAAGCACATGCAACACAAATGAGATGCTGGAAAGGAAGAGAAACCTTTGCAACTCCTTTGGGTGGATAATCTGCCTTCAATCTCGGATCTACACATTGCTTCACCTTATCCTCGCTCAATCGTGGAGTTGCCTTTAAAAGAAAAAAAACAGAGATATCATCAATAATAAATATGAAGAAGAGATTAAGTCTATGTTTTCGTTAAAGAGTGAGATACAGGAAACTCACCCAAGTAACCAGACTCTGTTGCCCTCTAGGCATTGTATGATCAACAGGTTTCCTTCCCGTAAGAAGCTCCAGAAGAACAACACCAAAGCTATAAACATCACTTTTCTGGGTCAACTGTCCGGTCATGGCATATCTGCATTGCAATCATCATCCCATGAATTATTTTCACAGCTCTATGTAACTCAGTCACACATGAAATGAAGCAGTGCTGACTCGATAATGTATTCCCTTTTATGATCCATGAGATGTTTTACATTCAAAAAATATCATCAATAATAAATATGCCACCATCCAAACCGGTAAAATCAAAGAATATTTGCTTAAGAGTACGAGTTCAAAAATATTTACTCAGGGGCATGATAACCAAAGGTTCCGAGGACACGGGTAGAATGAAGGCGAGCAGCCATATCAGGAGCCTGATTTGAAAGATTAAAGTCTGCTATTTTAGCCTTGAAGTCCTCAAATAACAAAATGTTGCTCGACCGGATATCCCTATGTATAATCGAAGGCTGTATCTTCTCATGGAGATACTCGAGCCCCTTAGCTGCATCAATGGCAATCCTAACACGCTGCATCCAGTCAAGCGCAGGACCAGGTTGTGCACCTTGCACACCTTTTCTACCTAAATTTTATAAAGAAAACACAATATGTGTAAAGGCAAATCACATCCTATTTTAATTATAATAAGAAAAAGAAAAGGAAAAAGAAAACTGAGCATACAACCAAATAACCAGGAAAGAACAGCTCAGAATGTAATACAAGCATTACCGTGTAGAATATCATGCAGTGAGCCCATGGTTGCAAACTCATAGGACAGCAAGCGGAGATTCTCCTCGGCACAGTAACCCAGCAATTGGACAAAATTTTCATGCTTCAATTTTGATACCTTAGCAACCTGATCTCAAATTTCGAACAAATTAGCACCGGTCAAGTCGCTACATTTCAAAGAGGAAATCAGAGGTGAAAAAACTTTAGAAATTAACCTGGGATAGAAACTCCGCATTGGACTCGGGCTCTTGTGCAGCATCAAGCTTTTTGATTGCCACTTGTCTACCATCATTTAAAAGAGCAAAATATACTCTTCCATAGGAACCTTCACCGACCAAAGCCGTTGAGCCAAAGTTGTCCGTCTTATTTTTCAGTTCTTCAAGAGATAATGCAGGTACGTCAATAGGTAGTATTGCCTTCTGACTCTCTGTTTTCTCTACAGCAGAGAGCTTTGAACCTTTTTGCACTCCTGAAAGATAAACCAGTATGAAGATCAAAACATTAATTACAAAAATATCAAATATCCAAAACAAACTAATATATGTATTACAAAAAAAATGACAGTATCCATATAGAGGAGTTCTACATGTCAACGTAACCCACCGCATGAATCTGGTATTAAAGCCATCTTTGCTCAGTCACCTCATAATCCATTGCCCGGCTTCTACCTCAAATTCCACACAATTGATGATCTTCTAACTTAGAAATCTTCCATCCCCCTTAGCCCATGGCAAAAAATCAAGTAAAAGTATCTCTAAATCCTACTTTAAGAGACCTCTAATCACCAAATCGCCACACTTGATCTCACTACTATTCTTCAGGAGATCTCAAAATATACCACTCCAATTAGCTAACAGGAGAGAAAACAAATCCCATTTTTTCTCCAAATTTTAAAAAAGGGGCTTAGCCAACCCTAGAAAATCCTAATCAATCTTAACCCTAACCGGTCAACTATCCCCCCACCAAACAACCAGAGACCTCCCAATACCAAAATCAGAAGCCTCCCAATACCAAAATCATGAATCCTCTCCTGCCCTCTCAAACCAAGAACAACCCCCTTTCCATAAAAAAAAGTTAAAATAAGATTAAAAATAAACATAAAACCATCCCCTAAATTCCTCCTTACCCAAGTTTACACTACCAAAGCTTCTCCTTACAGAATTTCTCCAGGAAACCCAATTAGCAAATAAATAAGATCCACTACAAGGGCATAGTTCTAAGGAGTTAATTGCACAATAAAGCACAACAGTGTACAATCATCTTTGAACGGTATTTTTAAGTATAACTTTAATTATTAACTATAATATCAGGGATGTAAGACGAAATAGTACTACATCATTTACCTATTTTAAAAAAATATTGAGATATAACAAAAACATACCGTTCCTACCATCCACATAACGCTTTGGGCTCTTTAAGGCTTCATTCTCACGAGGGTCATCGGACTCGTCCACCTTACATGAACAGCAAAGCCAGCACGACATCTTGAATTTGTTTCTTTTGTTACTGTGTAATGCATATAAAGAATAAGAGAAAGTTATAAAAACTCTTCGGGGCTGTTTGTTAGAGGCTTTTAATAGGATTGATAATCAAATTTACTAAATACAGCGAAACAGTAAGATGTGAGAGAGTTTGGTGGATTTACGGATATAGTAAATCCAATTTTGCCTTCCATTCAGCCTAAATCACGGATTTACTAAATCCGGTATTTCGGTTTATTTATGCATTTACTAAATCTTATTAATATTAAATTCTAATTGCAACCAGACAGCCCCTTCAATTTTTGAAATCAGTGAGATGCAAAAAATTAACAAGCAAAATCTAAATCCAGGATTTTGGTTATTTATGGATTTACTAATCTTATTAATATTAAATCCTACTTGCAGCCAAATAGCCTCTTCAATTTTTTAAATCAGTTAGATGCAAAAATTAACAGGCAAATTTGAGGATATACTAAAATATTCATACCAAAACATCATCAGAGTACATGTAAGGGCATAATTTTCAAGTATTGACATCACCAGCACGCACGTTGAAAAAAAAGCTAAAAAGAAAACGACACTGGCGAATAAGAATAATTCCAGCGGAAATTTTCCTGATACCAATATCCAATCCATGGCAAAAGAAACTTCCGAACAAATCAATCCAACCAAACAATCTCCATCAGAAACATCTCCGGAACAATAAGAAAACCCTTTATCACAGCAAAAGAAAAGAAGAAGAAAAAGAAAAAAAACAGAGCAACCAGAATGAAGAGAAATGCAGCTGAGGCGACCATCCGTCCGTCAACACAAGAAATCCAGCTCCAAAAGCCAAAACAACAAAATAGAGAAAATAACCGCAGAAACTGCACAATCCGTAGTACATCCATTGAACGATCAACAAGGGAAAAAAAAAAACCCCAGAAAATTTAAGAAGGAAATTCCCATATAGAAGGAATCCCGATCGGATGAATGGAAGTAACGAAAATGAAAACAAGAAATCAGACTGCAGAATCCAACACGTCCGAAGAATCCAAAGCTCAATTACACAGATAAGGACAACAACGCAAAAAACAGGACAACCAAATCAAGAAAGACGAAGAAATCGCATCTCACCTCAAACAAAATTCCTCTCTCCTATGTAGAACAGAGATCAAGATAGCCCGCCCTAGAATTCAGAGTTTCGGGGACGAGAAGTATAGAAGACGAGACGCGGTAAGAAGGAGAAAGGAAGGAGTTCTATAGCAGAAAAGTAAAGCAGAAGACATCGAACACGAATTTGCTCGGGGAATGACAGCGAGGCTCGCATTACCCTCCTTTATATATGTGTTTATTTTCCACTACAAAATGAAAGTTAAATGCATTTGTTCACCAATTCTTACCCCCAACAAGTCAACCACGCACCACGTGGCCTTCCTATTCTCAACTATCCACGTCACATTAGTCAGCCCCCCAAACGAAATGTAAATGCCACAAAAGCAAAAATTACAATAACACCCTCACTTTTTGAAGAAAGATGTACGAACGTGATAATATACAAATAATTATAAAATAAAAGACACATCCAACGCAAATAAAATAAAAAATTTAATTTAACAAATATTTTGAGATCAATTGTTTTTTCATGTACTTTTATTTGACCACCATTCAGCTCATAAATTATTCATAGACATATTTTCTTATATAGTGGTCGGCCCGTCTAGCAAATGGTGAGCTCGAACTTGGCAAGTATTGATAGTAGCCAGCTCGCGAGCTCGAATGAAAATTCTGATTTTTACAGTAGCTCACCAGAGAAGATATTAATGACAAGAGGAGAAGAATGCAACAATAACCTACCATAAAATATATCAAATAACTAGCCATAATTGAGCCGGCTAGCAAGCCAATGAGCCGAGCCGGGACTAGCTTGAGCTCGAGCTCGTTTAATAAATGAGCTCAAGTTTGCTCTTTGAGCTCAAGCTTGAGCTCATGGCTCAATAAACTCGACTTGTGAGTTTGTTAACAAGAGGAGCTCGAGTCTGTTCGGCTCATTTACACCCCTAAATACATACATACATACATACATACATATATATAAATAATAAATACTTAACTTTATAAATAAAATCTTAGTTTTTATTTTTTTAATATTTATAACAGAAATTAAAATTCAAATTCTTTATAATTTAAATTAAAATTGAGCTGAACATGTGACAAATTTATGAAAACTTCAAAGGAACAACTTTGAAAACTAGGTAACATCCTTGTCAAAAACAGAGCGACCATCCCGCCAAGAACAACATTAGCTCAAATGTCAAGTTTGATGGACGACATGATGACTCACCAGAAAGAGAAACTTCAACTGTGCTGGACTCCCCCTCCATGTCACCATCATCTTTATAGGACCTGTAAAAAGGCACAAGCTTTATTAGAAAGCAACGTATTTTGTTAATATTTGAGTTTAAAGTAATAGTTCGTGTATAATGAAAAACACGCACAATCTAACATTTCTAAAATATTTTCCATTTTTATTACGAATTTCCAATGGAAGATGTGTTTAATTAGATACCTACTAACAGTTTTCACTATCAGGAATTGTCTTTGAACATCTTCTCGTACAATCCTTTATTACAATTTTATGCTTGTAATATTATTTTATAAATACAATGAAACAAATAATAATGAATAATAATCATATAATTCATAATTATATATCTAACATCCCGGGTTTTTTTTTTTAAATGAGGAAAATAAATCTGATGAGAATTAAAAATATATACGATTTGATGTTTTTGTTATGCGCTCCGAGATTTGGGTGGGATTAGTGGTGGAGTCGAGCTCTAGCAATGCCATGTTCGAGCTTAGCTCGTCTATAAAGTAATGAGATCGTGCTTCAGCTCGAGTCGGCTTGTAGTCACTAGCTTGAACTAAAAAATTCAAACTTTTACAGGAGCTCGCAGCAAGAGGTCACCAGAAAATACATAACAATAACTGGCGGTGGGCTAATCGAGCCGGCTCGCGAGTCAACGAACCGAGCATGGATGAGCTCGACCTCAAGCACATGGCTCGATAAGCTCAACTCATGAGCTCATTGATGTAAAGGATCGAATGACTAGAGCAAGGACAAGAAGAACTTGAGACTAAAAAGAACAAAACAACAAAACTGCAACTAAAGTTTTTTTGAAATAATGGGGATAATTACATACAAGACACCCAAAACATTGCTATTTACAAATCAAACACCATCTTGAATTTTTGAACTATGAAACCGACGCATTTACGCGTGCCACGATCAAACCTTCGTGAATTTGATAAAAATGAAAAATATGAGTTTTTGCTGGGGACCTTTGATATTTGAGTGAGAATTTGAAAGATGGATGAAAGAGGGTGCTTGATTTGTAAATAGCAATCAGTGGAGAATATTTATATTCTCCCTATCACATACAAGCAAAACATTTAAATGAAAAAAAAAATTATTAGCTAAGAAAGTTAAGTTTGCTAAAATGTAACAAAGCACATAGTAGAGCACATTGGTAAATATTATACAATAAAAGCAAAACTAAGGAAATTAGCTGCATCAGATCCCTTCTGCTTCAAAAGAACTGAGACTCATAAAAGGACAAATTATGTTCTTGATTAAAATTCCACGAAGATCATCTGTTATAAAAACAACTTATTGAATCCCTTATCTGCCATGGAAGTGATGAGCAAAAGGATGAAGGTAGCTTCTGTTTAACTTCAATTTCATATCTCAGCTTACTGCTATAATTCCATATAGACATAATAATGAACAAAGCAATGGCAAGCAACAGCAAGAACCAACTTCCAGCTCTCACAGACAGCATATAAGATCCAGATGGGCTGTCAATAGCAATGGCATTAAATATCATGCCAGAATGCCTCAATCCAAATATTTCTGAACTAATTCTAAGCATTAGAGACCTCTGAGAATCATAACACACACCTATCACCACCTAACCCAAATACAGAGAACTTGGAAGACTCAAAGCTATCCATTCACAAACGAAGATTGGGGTGTCAATTCTGGTTGACGGGTTGGGTTAGGGTCCAACCTGAAATTGGCATGACCCGCATGGGGTCAACCCGAACCTGAACCGAATAATAAACGGGTTGAAAACTAAAATTCGAACCCGAGCTTGACCCTCTAACTCGAATCCGACCCAAATTTTCGAGCTTTTTCGGATCAAGTTTGGGTTTTTGGGTTCGACCCGAATAAAATGAGTCGAATTCTCTGACCCGTGCACGACTCAAAAAATATTCGGGTCAAGTCAAGTTTGAGTCGTGTTGGAGTATTGGATCAATTTTTGACACCCCTAACCAATGGTCATTGTTGCAAACATGAACACCATAAATAGTGACCTTGTACAGCCATGCGGACGGAAGAAATGATCAGAGACAGCTTGCGATTAAACCACCCATAAAAATCCATATGCTTCAGAAAGAAACAAAGTAGTTGTTTCTTTATGTTGTAATCTGAGTAATTTTATTGATGGTGGTTAAAGCATGGGCCCTTTATAAATTCAACTTCAGCAATGCCATCTTCCACTGCTTCTTTTTGTAGCAACCTGAAATTAGATAAAACCGCATGCACAATTCAATGCAAGCCATCACAGTTTGAGAGGGAATGTGAGCTGTAATCCATTTTCGCCGACGAAGACCTAAAGGTTTGTACTCCTTAATGTGGGCTTACAAAAATGCCCATCCCATTAAAAGGCAGCTGAGTTCATCACAATTGGTTTCTTGATGTTCATATTGTACCTATTTGTTCTCAGGTCGGGCCGGTGTAGTTGATTGAATCTTTTAGGATCATGAATGTAGGAACATATAACAGACAATGATTTTGGAAAAATATGAAAATCTATCGGATAAGATTTATTATTAAAAATAGTCATGAAATCTTTCACAATTTGCACTGCTACACCCTCACATTCATCATAAAGCATGTGTAGCATTACCCTTCTCATCAGTTTCTTTGAATGATACCTCAGCATTGGTTTTATTAAGAACAATACCATCTAAACCACTAAGTATAAACAAATCTTTATCTACACTCTCGGATGATTTTACTTTGCCTCCTGCTATTGGCCTAGAAATGGCATTACGCTTGAGAAATGTGAGCCTCATCAAGTCCACGGAGCAAGAATTTAAATACATGCCTTTCTCCATCTGATTATCACGGAAGATACAGTTCATTTTTCTTAATTCAGAATTCAGTGATCCTGCAGGAATTTTCTCGATTTCAAATGCTCCATAACCAAAGGCTCTATTTGAGCATCAAAATTTTGGAGGACTACAGACTTTGCATCAGCTAGAACTTCAGAATCCTCTTCAAATAAATACTCACTAAAAAACTGATTTCTCTTAATAATATGTTTTTGATCAACCATTGGACAAGAATATGAAATTCCTTGTGCGTAGTGCATTTTGAGAGATTTGATAGTTTCGGGATAAATTAATAAATCATAATCTTATGGAAGAAATTGGTCTCGTAACAAATGTTTCATTTTGAGACAAGTTTTGACATAACTACAACCCTCGTGATGAGTAGTGATACGCCACGACAAATTTTCATCATCCGGCACGAATCTCGGTGCAATTTTTTGAACAAGATCGATACATAAAAGATATGAGGGTTTGTACAAAGACACATGATGGACATGACGAGTATGTTTAGCTAATTGGCAGGTTTCGTACTTATAAAATTTTGATCTTTTAAAATGAAAAGATGAGTGCATAGCTTTGCAACACAATGAAATTATGATGACTGATATGACAATCCCATAATAAAACTTGACTTTCAACAAACACAGATATAATAAACTTGAGAATATGAGAAGAGTATGGTGGAGAAGACACTTGTTTCATAAAAGAATAGCTTTCTTGAGCAAATATACATCTTAATGCAATTCAACACTGTTAGTCGCTAGCTTTTCCTGAACCCATCACCTGAAATTCACAAGAATTATAATAGAATTTAGTAATACAATTAAAGTAATGAGTAAGCTTGCTAATTGAAAGTAAGTTGGAATCTAATTGAGAAACATATATCACATAAGAGAGCTAAATAACTTTATAGACTTTCACTTCTCCTTTACCAATAATCCGGGAGTGAGATCCATCGAAAACGCTAACAAACTTAAAGTTGATGAGTACTTGATAGTTGATGAGAGCATGAGTATCACCAGTCATGTGATTAGAAACACTTAAATCTATTATTCAAGGTCGAAATGTTCTATCGTTAGAGAGATAGGAGGAGGACATGATATATTGTTAGAATTTTACGACTGGGCCAGGCCTCGTGGTTTTTCCCTTTTTACGGGGTTTTCACGTAAAAACTTGATTTTTACAACTGGGCCAGGCCCCGTGGTTTTTCCCTTTTTACGGGTTTTCCACGTAAAAACTTTTGGTGTGATCACAGCTCGATTCATTTTTATCTGAGTGTGTGCTGAATTCTCGTGCAACGCTAAGACGATAATCCATTACTCTACCGCCGCGAATTTTCTAGCACGCATCAGTTTGGCGCCGTATGTGGGAAAGTTTCAATCCCACAACTAAAGTACTTACACGATCTACTACATGGCAACCAGACACAATGTTCGTGATAATGGAGCATCCCGCTCCAACACCCATCATTCCACGGAGCAATCACGAACCCAAAGGCATCATGCTTCTTCGTCTTCCAGCCCTGGAAGACGCTACCCTGCCAATGAAGATGTTTCGGGTCGTTCAATAGAAGATCGAATGCGTAGAATGGAGGAGTCTCAACTAGAGATTCTACAGCTTCTACGCGGGGCTCAACAGCCGCTACCTACACCATTGGATGAAATTCATTTACCATTAACTCCGCGACGTACGAGAAACATACCGCTCGGAGGAACTCATGTCGGCCCGCCTCCTCAGGAAGGAACACATCCCCTGTCAGGTCGTGATGTTGAACTCCTAGATACATGAGAAATATTTAAATTCCAATGTTTTGCATTCTCAGCATATATGTTGAAGGCCCTTTTATGATAAAAATAGTGGTATGAAAATTTTATGTGGTATAAACTAGGGGTGTAAACGAGCCGAACACGAGCGAATCATTTATATTTCGAGCTTTTCGTGTTCAGCTCGTTTGCTTAACGAGCCGAACACGAGCTCTTCACGAACAAAAAGTCCTTTTAACAACCCTAATCCTAGCCATAAGACAATAAGAGTTTGAGCAAGATTTAAAAATTATTATTTATATTAAAACATCATTTGAATCGAATTTAATAATTTTTATTCTATTTGCTTAATCAATATTTTAATTGATTATAAATCTTTGTAGCCTTGTAGTCAATTAAATTTTTTTATTTCGAGCCAAAACGAGCCAAACACGAACGAACACATCTTAGTTCGTGTTCGGCTCATTAACTTATCGAACGAAATTAACTAGCCGAACACGAGTTTCTTAACGAGCCGAACACGAGCTGATCCCGAACAACAAGCTGTTTTGACAGCCCTAGTATAAACTTAAAAAAGTATATTTTAGATGTCGGACATGTAAATACATAAAAGTTTAGTACTATGTATGTAAATGTCCCCATTTCTTAAGGCCCCATGGTTTTCTAATTAGACTAAATAAAATTTCGACTATTGACTACCTACCTTTTATTTTGTAAATGGTTATTACTAGTTTAAAATTTAAATGTTTGTTAATAAATAAATAAATACTTGCAATAAAATGTTATCTTTTTGATTTAATTTAAATAAGATTAACAAAAAAAAAGTCATGATATTATTTTCCTTAAAACTTGTTATAATTAAACAAATATAAACGTTTGAAGACTTTTGACTCGGATCTGAAGCCATTTGGGTGGATTGAATCATCCAACCCCCACCCACCGCATTTTCTGCACCACCGTCGCCGGAGTTCAGCTCAGGGTTTCGCATGACGAGTACTTCTGAGCTTTTCTATAACCGAAGATCTCGCACGACCCGTGGCTCAGAGACAAGGCTAAGCCTGAACGGCTTTCCCTCCGATAGAGACCGGTTTCCGATCCGGCGATCTTTCCTGCGACGCCGACGAAACCATTTCGCTAACGGCGACGATATGGAGCCCTCGATCCGACCTCGGGCGTTGTGGCGGACGGTACGTGCCCGTCTGCGCTCTTTCTGTATGTGTGGTTGTTTCAGCAAGGTTATTTTCAGATCTCATTCTGTTTTTCATGTTTTATGCATTAAGTTTTTGGCCAAGATGCGCGAATGCCAAAGTGATGGGAAAGCATTGTGAACGTAGTTTGGGGCATTATAGGTCATTAAGTTTGAGGAAGATAGCTGATATTTGTGAATCGATAGCTGAGACGAATCTTTGACGGCTTGACTAGTGGATCTGCTGAAGAAATTTTCCTAATCTTGATTATGAGTTTATCCCCGTCTAAATACTCTTGAATCAAGCTGGTTATCCGCATCCATTCACGAGTTTGCTATCCATCTATTAGAGGCAATTTTAGGCTTCTGGGTCGAAGAGGAGGCCATCTTTTTTCATTCTTTTTGGTCATTGCAGATGGAATATGGATTTATTGTAATTGGCTCTATCTTGGTTTGTTCCTACCCCCTTATCATCATAAGGTGTTGTTGTTGCATGTACAAAATTTACGGTGGAAGAGTGATAGGTTAATGTTTTAGTTTTATATGAAAAATTAACACGGATAAAATAAGAGTTGCAAGAGGAAACACTAGATTCTTACGTGGAAAGTATGGAAAAGAGATAGCCACAAAACTTGACCCAATTGAATGATCCTACTAGTATATGTTATTGGTTAGAATGGATGCCCTTTGCCGTAGACAAATTTTTTGTAGAATGAACTCTATAATGGATAGAGGAGTCTGGAGACTTTAGAGTTATCTTCAGAAAATCATTTAAGAAATGCTTCTGCCCAATCAACAATTGCATGCGTAAATGAGGTCGGCGGGTGTCAACAATGACGGGCATGGTAAGCGATATTATATATAGCAATGCACATTAGCCTGGACGCAATGATGTGCGTTAACAACATGCGTTAACCTTGAAGGTGATGATGAGTATCAATGGCATGCATCAACCTTGTAAGCAATGATGGGTGATGATGTTGGCAAGCATTGGCTTGGTGTCAACAAACGATAAGATTGGAGGGTGATAGTAGTTAAATGACCGTAATTGAACGATGGTGGTCAATGGAACACAATCGAGTGATAGAGATGAAGATATCATAGTTAGGTGATACTAGTTGGGAGGCCAAAAAATAGAGGTTAAGTAAATTTAGTTGGGAAACGGTGATCGACGATGAGGTTGGGCAGCTATATTCACACGATCATAGCTGGGTGATGAATGTTAGGGGATTTTAGTTTGACAATGGAGGTCAGAAAGCTGTAGATTTGTAGTCGAGCGCCATTAGTCTGACAGCTATTTTCAAACGAAAAATGTATGGGAGACCATAACAGTGATGGAGGTCAAGTTATTGTACATAAACAAATGTAATTAAGCAATTATAGTCAAGCAACGAAGGTAGGATTGTTGTGGTATATATGAAATTTAAAATAGAAGAACGATCGACGATGAAGCGAAAAGTACAACGAGAAAGTTCACACCAGAAAATAGTAACATAGCGGAACACATATATTTACATGGTTCGACAAATTGCCTATGTCCACGGAGTTACAGAGGATTTTACTACTTGAGGAATATACATTAGTCGATCGTCTCAACTTACAAGAGAGTTCTCTCACTTATTTGCTCTCTCTTCTTCGCTCTCTACACCGAGATACACCAAAGAAGATAAACTTACAAGAGAAATAAACCTAATTTTTCTTCTGCCACAAGCCACCAAGAAGAAGCTGAGACCAATCTTCTTCTTCCTTCTGCCGCAAGGAACTATTCCTTACACTTCTCTTCCTCTATTACGAGGAAGCAAAACTGTCGAAGAAGAACACAAAAGGGCACCGTGCTGTGTAATTAAAAGGAAAGCCGTGCGATACCTTTTATCTCGAGAAGAGGCCGATAGAGGGAACAGTTGAGCAGGAGCGGGAGGTGGAAGTCACGACGTTTCATGACAGAGGGAGTGATGACATCGATTCACGAAACGTAAAAGGAGCGGGAGCGGGAGCTGGGGGGGGGTGGGCTCCATCCTTAACAAATCTCTCACTTGGAGACCGATACATAGACTACAATGTCTTCTTTCTCAAACAGATATCCTCCACTGGCGACATAACCCTTTTCTTCAAACCCTTTTCTTCAAACATGAATCATCCACCTCTGCAACTCAAAACCCCTGTCTTCACACCAGAAGACCAATTGAAGCTGCGCACAACTTCAGTTTCTTAAGAGTAACATCCTTAGTCAACATATCAGCAGGGTCAACATAGCCTGTCTCCAAGTTATTTCCTGAGTTACTCTTGTATCCGCTTACAACTCCCACTGCATGAGCAATATTCTATCTATATTGAAAGCCTTTTTCAACAAGTATAGCCTTGTATCTCTTACTACTATTAAGCTCAATCTTCACCCGGTAAATCCACTTGTTGTGTAATGCCTTCTTTCCTGGTGGAAGTTCTGTTAGCTCCCACTTGCTCGAATTTTCATCTTGCAAAATTTCTTCATAGTTCTGTGGTTCTCTACCATCTGTATGTGGAACAGTAGGAATGAGTGTCTCAGACCTGTTATCTTTTTCATTTCCATCACTGTCCTGCACTGTGGCCCTTGGTAGATCAACAAACCTTACATTTCTGCAGTAACTAGAGCCTCCAATAGATGCCCCTGAAGAAGGTCCCCACACATTTGTGTGTACAAGATCCAGCTTTCCTGCCCTTGACGTTCTGTCACATTTCAAGAAACTGACATTCTTCTGTTTCCCCACAATGCATCTTTGACTCATAAGTCCATGCCTGAGTAAATCTGTAATTATATATAATGTGTTAATTTTCTTACCCCGAGCTAGTACTAATGCTCTTTTGGTAAACTTATAGGTGCTATTGTGAACACTACTGAATGACCGTCCTACTTGAGCTGCTCAACAGAAATGAGCATTTTCTTCAACTCAGGAACGTGCTTGACTTTTTGCAAAATTCACTTATTCTTATTTGAAAGTGCAATGTCAATGTCTCTAATTCCTACCACATTGAAAGCTTCTCCATCTGCCATATATACTTTCTCAAAGTCACCTGCAACATAATTTCACATCAATTCCTGATGAAATGTTATATGGAAAGATGCTTCTGAATCCAATATCCAGTTATCAACAGAACGATAAACTGTCAACAGTAGTGCATCATGTACTTTTTCAGATACCACATTTGCTCTATTATTTTTCATTTTCTTGAGATTTCTGCAGTTCCTCTTTATGTGACCAATCTTGCCACAATTCCAATATATTGTCTGCTGACCGACTTTGATTTTGATCTCCCTCTATTTGATTTCTTATCTTGTGATCTCTCTCTGAAATCAACATTCATTGTCGAACTTGTACTTGAGATCTCACCAGAATCTTTCCTGCGCACCTTATCAGCCAAAATTAAATCATTAATATCATCATATTTCAGTTTAGATTTACATGTAGAACTACTAACTGTCATCTCATGACTTCCTAACTATTTGACAATGATGCTAACAATATCAGCACACATATCTCATCATCAAAATTAATTTTAACAGACAAAAATTGATTTGTGCTAATATTGAAATAATTCAGGTGTTCAGCGACAAAATACCTTCTGCCATCTTCAAATTGAAAATTGATTTGTGATAATATTGAAATAATTCAGGTGTTCAGCGACAAAATACCTTCTGCCATCTTCAAATTGAATAACTTCTTCATCAAGTACAACTTGTTATTCGCCGATGGCTTTTCATACATATCTGATAAGACTGCCATTAGATCTGCAGTCGTCTTTTTATTGACGATGTTGTGTGCAACAAACCTCGATAGAGTCAATCGAATACTCCCAAAACTTGTCGATCCAACAAATTCCATTCAGCTCCATCCATTCTTTCAAGTCTTTTCTCCAATAACGGAAGATGAAGTTTCTCTCATAGAAGTAGTTCTCTATCTGCATCTTTCAGTAACCAAAATCTGTGCCATCAAATTTCTTAATCCCAAGGCTTATTCTATAGCGGGTGTAGTTGGATGTTAGAGATTGGGTAATTATAATATGGTGATAGAAGTCAAGCGACTATTGCCTAATAACAGAGTTCAAAGAATTGTATTTGGGGAACGTATGTAAGGGGACTGCATTTTTGTGACAAAGGTTAGACATTCATACATGGGTAATTGTATTCTATGATGTACAAATACTTCTAATAAAGAAGCCTTACAACGTCAGATATGTATCAGACACAAACATTGCCCCACAGCTATGACACGTGTTGGTGACAACATAGAAGTATATGTGACACAACTATGACACGTGTTGGTGACAACATAGAAGTATATGATTTAAATTCTTATAAAAGAAAGGGACACACGTGTCCTAAATTAATGATTTAAAATTTTTTGAAAAATATTTTAAGACAAATAATAAAAACATAAAAATTTAAGAAAAATTTACATGCATACCACTCAATTTTTATGTATTTACATATTTAACTACTAAATTCAGTTTTTTACATACATGACACCTTGCATGTATATGAAAATGTGTATTTTACTTTTTAAAATTGAAAATTATGGTATATTAGACATGGTATGAAAGATTTGGGTAGATTGAATATAAAAATCAAAATTTAGGTGTTAGCTATGTAAATACATAAGAATTCGGTGAACATTTTAAAGGAGGCTTGTTGGGATTATTTTTGTTTTTATTTTAAATTTTTATTATTTTTTGCATTTTGGTTTAAATTCATATATGTTTAATTGAGGTAGCTGCTTTTTAAAATTATAAATACAATTTAATTTGATTTTTAAAATAAAAAATAAAATATATTAAAAGTATATAGACTACAAATTGATGTCAAATGAGTTCTTAATTTTTAAAAGTTAGTGTTATTGAATTCTTATTCTTTTTGGTATTATTTATTAATTTTTTTATTTTATATATATATATATATATTAAAAATTATTAATATATTTAAATAAAAATTATTAATATATATATGTTTTGGCAATGAATGTCAGGCAGTTATAAAAATTATTAATTATAATGTCATGTTCGATGCATGTCTTTGTT